ATTATAACACTGAAGAACCAAGAACGCATATGACAGACAGACAGACATATTTATTTGTATATGTGGCCCTGAGGCCAATAGTACATGTGTACAATAATAGCAGTGCATTTATGCGCAACCTGTAAATACGCGAGTTATAAGAACATCAATAAATCCATAAACACCCATTCACAATTTACATTTTTTCTCTCAACATAAGTATGTGGTACAACACAAGGGCTAGGCTTAAACAACAAGTCAATGTTTTCTGTGCGAAGTAGCATACAGAATTTATGTCTCGACGGTTGGTTATAGAAAAAAATAAGGCAAATATGTTTCTCTTATTTCTAAATATTTCGGGCATACAAGTAATACATGGTACTCATTTTCTTGTGATAAATTGCAGAATGGACATTGGATATCTATTGCATTTGAAGTTTTGGCAAATCGCGCCGCTTGGACTTTGAAGTTGTAAGCGTTACATCTAAATTTAGTAAGCGTACGCTTAAGTTGTGGTGATTTAATCTTTGAAAGGTAAATTTCTGTATTAATACAATATTTATATTCTGAATAAAAGTTGACACAGGTTGATGACGTTATTTCATTATACCAGTCCTGTTGATAAATGTCTTTGCATCTCTGCTTGAATAATTTGATGAAATATTGTGTATTACTTACATTTTGGGCGATCCATACATTTCCAAAGCCATGACTAAAAAGAATAGTTCTAACGAATGAAACCCAATTAATATCTCCGGTATCATCTAGTGTTTTAAGCATTTCATAACTACATCTTGAATATCGTGAAATTGGTTGTCTCATCAATCTTAGCCAATATGAAATAACCCGAACATCGGGCGTTAATAAACAGTGGAATACGTCCACATTCAGCTAAAATAACCTTGTTCGCAGTTCTGTAACCAACACACAACAAGAACTCACAGAACTTTGAATGTACCTTTTCAATATTCTTGTTTATGTTAATAGAACGCATATGTATCTGTACAATGTCTTTCATTATATTAGAATGTATATGTACAATCATTTGATACATCTCACAGCTTATATTTTATTTCATACATGGACATTGGATACGTTGAATAACATATTAACTAAAATATGTGTAAAATGTATCCACTTTAAGAAAGTGAGTGAGTGAGTTTAGTTTTACGCCGCACTCAGCAATATTCCAGCTATATGGCGGCTCTCTGTAAATAATCGGATCTGGACCAGACAATCCAGGGATCAATCTACGCAATTAGGAACCGATGACATGTGTCAACCCAGTAAGCGTTCTGACCCCCCGATCCCTTTAGTCGCCTCTTACGACAAGCATGGGTTACTGAAGATCAATTCTAACCCGGACCTTCACGGGTTTTGAAGAAAGTATTACATAAGATACCTGTATGAATACATTTGAAGAAGTGCCACCCAGCTGTCAGCTGGCTAGATGTACTTACTCCCTCAGCTTTGATGGATCGTATTGTCACAGCTTACAGCAAGTATTTCACAATCACTCAGGCAAAACTGCTAGTGCGTGGTGGGGGTTAGGTCTCGTAAGTCCGACCTTTGGATGGGTCTAAAACGGGGCTACCCCGTGGTGGGTAAGTGATCGTGAAAAAATCTAAGCCCTAATCTCTGTTGTCATAATGGACTTGTTATTGACGTGTTGTCACAGGTGAGTGGGCTAGAATAACTCACGCATGGACACAGTTATCCATTGTAAGCCCACCCTTTTTCCACAGGGGCACACTTCAGTTATGTTCGCACATCTCATAAGGATGTGACGTGTATGATAGTGGGAAGTGTCGGACATATTTTCTGTTATAAGTCACCTACCTCCAAAAAGTCTCTTTTATGCTCGCACTGTTCATTGGAGTGGTCTTCTGGGTGTGAAGATTGCATGTTATTTTCACTCCCTCTTCTGAAATGTCTTTGTAAATATAACTGGTGATATTTAGGACAATTTCGAAACTGATAAACATGAAAATAACATATTTATTCTGAAGTATCCTTCAGCTGATTCACATATACAATACGACTCATGCGGTCACGGCAAAACCGCGAACAATATAAGATTATACGTCCATATATACTACTGGAATAAAGTAACTGTGCATTATTTGTTGCTATGCCATTTTTAATGCAAAGGGATATTACTTGATTTATGATGTTTTCATTAATCACTATTTAACTATTGAAAGGATAATATCGAAATCTGTATGATTTGACACTAGGCATCGCGACACGCCCTTGAAGAGATGTGGTGTCAAAAGTCAGTTCACAAATTCAGTATCGTGTATATCCACCATTGGCGTTGATGCAGGCTTTACAACGACGATGCATAGACGACACTAAGCCATTGATGAAAGCTTGGGTAATGTTGTTCCATGTTCACTTGTCCCAACTCAACTAATGTCAATGTCTGATTCTGGGCTTGGCGAAATTGGGCCATTCCAGTTTACGGAATATCCATGGCGCAGTGACACTGATCATGATTTTCTGTAAACCGTGACGTGACGTACGCGCAGTTTAGGTGGAAATTAACGTGTTTTCAATAGTATTCAGAGGCTTGGGAATAAGCGAGCTCCTTGCTACAGGAGATACTAATACAGCGGACGGTACACGTGAAACTGAGGGCTTTCTTTTTGCTCCCCAGGATCAGTCACTTCCCACTCGCAATCGCCAAAATGTCATTCTTAAACAAAATATCAATATGAAATGTCAACTTTGCAATGAATCTACAGAGACTGTCAAACACCTTGTCAGTGGATGCCCTTCCTTGGCACAAACAGCATATCTTAAACGACATGATGGCGTGGCTCGTTGTTTCCACTATCGTCTTTGCCATGCCTGTGGCTTTGACTCCGATAGGTCCAGCCATGGTACGACCCTGAGCATGTCCAGGGCGTCATGGAAAATGATCTTTTTAAGCTTCTTTGGGATAAGCCCATATGCAGCCTCAGGAGAATTCCAGCCAACAACCCTGATCTTGTCCCTTTTTGATAAGGCTAATGACTGTATTTATATCATTGAATTTTCTGTCCCTTTTGACAGCAGTGTGATTGGCAAGATTCAGGAAAAGCAAGCTAAATATGCGGACATGAAATGCCTTTGAAATGTCTCGCTTGCATCCCAAGTACACTGTCGTCAGACTCCCCATTGTTCTCGGTGCCCTTGTTTGGTATCTCCTGATCTCTTGGCGCAGATCAGGAGAGTCCCCGTAGGGACCATAGGGAGGACACTCGTTTTCGCTCGGTCAGATACCATAGGAAGGACGCTCGTTTCGTATATTTCGTATGCAATGAGACCGCATGTACTGGCAAACAAAGATAAGTTGAGCACCGACCTGACAATTGACCCGTATTAGCATGTATAAGTGCCGCCCACTGGCGCTTGCCATTGTTAGCGAAGAGGCCCCAGGTTGTCCGCGATCAAGTGTAGCGCGATGGGTGAAGCAAGGCGCAAAGCGCAAGGCGTGTGCAGCTATAGTTTGGCATGAAATGCATGTGGACCCGGTTTTTTGTAAATATCTCTTCATCCAATGACCCAATCGATCTCAAACTGTGCAAGTGGATGTTTTGTCAGACAACCTAATCACTTTGTAAATCACCGATTTTATGCATTTGTATTAAAGAATCTGTCTATGTAACTGTCAACAAAATAAACAGCAGACTGCAGACGGCTTGCAGAGGGAGGGAGGGAGCCAATGACCTGTAACAGCGGCAGTGTTGGGTCATAAAGGTAAATGCACGTGCAGTTCATGATAGTTACCTGTGCACTGCACAGTGATAGACCGTTTGGATCATTCACATTGACTACTTCTAGCTGTCATCATGAAAGCTTATTCAGATGATGCTAAACGTTTAATTAGGAATGTGTTGATTTTTTTATAAAAAGAGAGCAAACGTAGCAAACCGATTTATAAGGTGTCGGATTACATGAAACGTACATAGCTGACCTACATTGACGAACGTTGACCTTTATGACCCAACACTGCCGCTGTTACAGGTCATTGGCTCCCTCCCTCCCTCTGCAAGCCGTCTGCGGTCTGCTGTTTATTTTGTTGACAGTTACATAGACAGATTCTTTAATACAAATGCATAAAATCGGTGACTTACAATGTGATTAGGTTGTCTGACAAAACATCCACTTGCACAGTTTGAGATCGATTGGGTCATTGGATGAAGAGATATTTACAAAAAACCGGGTCCACATGCATTTCATGCCAAACTATACGCGCGGAATCAATTTCATCGTCATGTAATGCACGTGCACTAGCCTACATCTGCTCTACCTTTCACAAACCAAATGGGTTTGCTCATTGCCGCGCACCGCCTACTTCTCATAAACACGTTCTCTGCGCCGGTCCAACTTAAACTTGTTTGCCAGTGGTATTCTCTCTATATAAGTACAGATAATGCACTGAGAACTATTCAAAGTCGACAAAAAGATAGGGGTCAATTACATCAATGATTCCTGCACATTGCTCATGAATCGCGGGCAAACAGTTTACTGTACACAGTTATTGAACTTTCACTTGTTGCCCATGAATAGTGAGGACAACTACGCCCGCGCTCCTGTTGACAGCTCCCATTATCTGTCAGACTCTGCTTTTACGACCGTCACTTGAATGCGTTGTCGTCTCCGTTGAAACGGGTATCACTGGGTTAAGCTGTTCCGTGTCTGACTAACCTGGGCTAGGTATAAATAGAGAACATAATCTGACAAGTAGATGTGTACTCTAACGTTCTCTCTCTTATAAGACATACCAACTTTCAGAGGGTAAGAGGGCACACTGGGGGCTTGATTTTCGAGTTTATTGAAATCTCAAAGCGTCAATGCTCCTTTGGGATTGTTTTGTGTTTGTAAGATAGATCTATTTTCGATAACATCATTCACGTAAGTCTAGTGGTGTCAGTGCAACTGATTACAATACACTGATCTGCGCATACGTTTGACCTGAGTTACAGAGTTACCCGAACTAGTTTCAGACCTTTCAACGACCCCTGTGACTCAGCTATTAGCAACACGTATATTCACAGCCGCACGGAGTTGGGCAAGCACAGTCGCGGGTGACCTTGCCTTTGAGCTGTTGTGTGTATTGGCAGCTTGGCGAAATAATTAAAGACTCATACGAAATCACCCATCCCATCAACATGGAGATCTTGGGCCTCGTGGACGTCCCGTTATTTGTCCTTCTAACCCTGGCGGTGGCCGTGCTGATCTATATGTGAGTACACAATACAGTGTGTGTGTGTGGTTTGTATTTGTGTGTGTGTGTGTGTGTTTTGTATTGGTATGTGTTTTGTAGTGTTAGTGTTAGTGTTTGTGTGTGTGTGTGTGTGTGTGTGTGTGTGTGTGTGTGTGTGTGTGTGTGTGTGTGTGTGTGTGTGTGTGTGTGTGTGACCTTTGGTGGAATACCTATCTCCAGGCGAATGTGTCAGGATGCATGTGTTGTAATCAGTACAGACTGAAGATTGAGGACAATGTTTATGGACATGCAACTTTTTATTCTGTATCGGTGACTTTTCGGCACAGATTCTAATGTTGTTGTAAAGCATGTGCTGTGATTTTCTATCGCCTTGAATGGTACTTGAGTTTTTCATGGCATTGGATGTAGACTACGAACAGACCAAGAAACACAAGAAATATAATATAGGGCGGAAATAGAGGCTCGGTAGTGTTTACTCTCAATAGATACAGGGATCATCTACGTAGAGGAAATTAGCACCCACATGGATTTATGTAGAAGGTAGTAGAAATACGCTTCCATGGAAATGCATATCATCTATCACTTTGCCTAGTGTGTGTGTGTGTGCCTTGAATCGTAGACACAATCCCCTGAAATCACACATACGATGTTTGAATACAGTTGTAAAGTGCTCATTTTGACCCATGTTTCCAAACACTCAGGAACCTTTCAGAGCCGGGCCTCATGCAATACAATGCTGCATATTTTTCAGACATGGAACCTGGAACTTCAATTACTTCAAGAAACAGGGCATCCCTGGACCAACACCGTTCCCTCATTTTGGCAACAGCTTCTCATTTGTAGGTTCAGTTAATTATTTGCTATACATTTTTAACTTTAATGATCAGATGTTAAGTAGGTTTTTTTGGCAGGAAATGACGATATCTGTGTGTATGATATAAAAAGAAGCAAAGCAAAACGTTTCACGTTTGGGAAATCATACTCAGGTCCCATTCCCATCTGAATATGAATGTCATGTCCAGCCTTTGTACATAGTATAGAATACATATGCATATCATTGTCTCTCCTTATTAACACCAACACTGATGATTTTATACCCAGAGAGACTGCATTCCATGGCACCATTCTTCAGAAATGACACAATACAGAAGCTTATTTTATTTATTTACAGTCTTTCTTCCACAAATTCAAAGAATGGAAACGACAGTATGGAAGTATATATGGGTAGGTTCATCTCATACACTTATTGATTTGACTTTGCACACGTCTTCCCTATGATCTGGACAGCAGAATCAGCATCCTGTTCTTGACGTTGTATGCATGGCAATCGGGAATAATGCTCGAAGCTACGGATTTGGTCAAGCAGGAATACCCTTCCTTCATCGCCTGTTTTTAAATTAGGTGTTATGACGTTTTAAATCTGTAAGTAATATTGTAGATACATATTTTAAAAAACACCTTTAAAATCTGTGGTTAAAAAATTTACTTGTGTACATCATCTGAGACTAAAGTGTTAACCTAAAAACACATATAAACTGTTTTAAAATTTCCCTGATCTTGTTTGAAAGACGTAAAGGAACACTGCAGAATGTGAAAGAAGCCCACTAATATGAATGCAGACTTGGTCTCGTCGCTACATGGCTGACATAATGCCAATGCGACGTAAAAGTTTAACTCACTCACTCACACAATCTAAAGGTAGTTTTCCAGAAGTTGGCCCGTTTCTGTAGCAATGTTACATTTAAAAGATAATGTATCTGAAGTTTTATGTCTTGGCCTCATCTACTTCTGTTATCAGTTACTTGTTCCTGAAGGTAGACACAAACCTTTCCACCCTCACTACCAGTTGGGATCCTGGGGTGGAATTAGTCCCCATGGAGTAATCTAGTCGACTGAAACGGATCTGATGGTCTGGCTTTATGACATGGCAGATTGTGTGACATCTTGCTCAGGTGTCGTTTCTGGTCGTTGATTCACCTCGTCTGTATGTAATAAGTTGCGGCGCGGCAGGGAATAACTGCTGAATAACACACAACTCACTCAGTCAAGATATTACTGTCCCAACTAGTCCACACATTTTTAAAGTTGAGATTTGTGGAATGGCAAAGAGTTATCCAATAGATTTTTTATATTTTCTCATACCATATTGTTTCTTGACCTAAGGATATTTATTGGAAGAACGCCAGCCTATGTTATATCGGATCTGGACATTCTGAAGGAGGTGTTTGTCAAGAGTTTCAACACTTTCAGAAACCGGATGGTAAACAATGCTTTCAAGTATCTTACCCATGACATTGTTGGAAATACAATTACGTTACTTTTGTAAAGGACAAGCACGGTAAAAATGTCTCTTTCTGAGTGCACGTCCTTGTAAATGAGGTATTCAATCGCACTATGATGTGAGAATATTATAACTGAATGTTGCATACATGTGTTTTATAAACCTTACTGTTCAATATGTTTCTAGAAATTCCCATTCGTGTCCTACCCAATGAATTTGGGCGTGTTTTTCTTGGACGATGAGCACTGGCGGAGGGTAAGAAGCATCATAACACCGAGCTTCAGCAGCGGCAAACTGAGGAAGGTGAGACACTGTAGTCCTTACTGTTGGGTAGATATCCCATGTAGAGATTCCGGATTAGGAAACGTAACCAGCCCCCTTTGCTTGTTGTGCGAGGATATGTACGTTATCGGATTTATCAGACACGTTTTTTGTTGTCGTAATGGATTGATGACTAAATAAACATGTGACACTATGCTGTTACAGATCTGATACAGATCTGTCCTTTAGTCCATAGGTGTATTATATATACCATATACATACATGCTGTGTCTGTCTGACTTAATACATTCTATATATGGTCCGGTTTTACAATACTACGACCAGTCCGTTGGTATATAGGTTATCTCTTTGGATTCTAGATGTGCGCTGCCATCAATGATTGCTCAAGCACTCTCACAAGTAACTTCTCTAAAGTCATTGGGAAAAACGAAGGAGTGACCGTGAAAGAGTAAGTATTGTGTTGACATGTCGAACTGTACTTTATAGTCGATCAATTCTGAAGAAATGGATATTCTTTACCTCGAGTATTACATGTACGCCATTTCATTCCTATTGTTAAACTATAAGCACGTGTTGCAGAACATGGACTTGGCAATGTGCGACATAACTTGTATTTATCTCGTTGAAAAACATAAATTTGTTGCAATGTTTTTCAGCTACTTTGGAGCTTACACAATGGACGTGATTTCACGGACTGCGTTTGGTATCAAAGTCGATTCTCAGAACGATTTCAACAATGAATTTGTCGCTAATGCTAAGATGATGTTTACACAGTCAAATCAGCGAACACTACTCGCAATACTAGCACGTAAGTACATACTCCCCACAGACATTTCTCTTCATTCAACAACCTTGTGTATAAATTCTACTGTTTTTTGGGGCACTGGGCAAATATATTTGTTTTAACAGGAAGTTATTTGATATGGACTTACAACGACATCTATCTTTTATCATGAGGCTGTGGGCTATGTATCTATAATGATATCTGTTTAACACAAGGGTATGGTGTGTGCAATTTCAACGATATATGTTGTTAACACAAGGGTATGGGGTTTGCAATTATACAGTTATCATGTTTCAACACTAGGGTATGGAATATGTACATCAATATCTGATTTCAACATGACGGTATGTGTTTTGCACTTCTAACGATATCTATTTAAAACGTGAGGGGAGTGGATATGCACTGATAACTATGTCGATTTTCGACACGAGGAAATGGATGGGCGTTAGGTTTTATCAAGGAACTGTTATAAGTGATTATGCTGTTAATCACCAACTGTTATGCTGGTGTTTTAACTTATAAATGAAATCTGTGAAAATAATGTAACAGTGCTGTTTATAATATCATTTGACTTACCTCAAAAGCCTGAACACGTCTTCCTGGCTCTTTTGAATTTCCTTATCTTCATAAAAACACGACCCCATTACTGGGATCATCCAACGCAACACCAAATCCCCGTCTCAAAGATCAATCAATACCCTTAATACAACCAGGGCAGGACTTTCTTTACATTTACAACATACATCAACACAAGAGGGTATGGCCAAACCAAGGTTGGAGGATTATCGATGACCTCATCATCATCATCATCATCATCATCATCATCACCATAACGCTCAACAATTTTCAAATTTCCGATTCACTTCCTGTGACACAGCCTTCCAATGATGAACCGTCCTTGTATGTTGAGTAGATATTGTGTATATACTATTCCAAAAAAGAAACGCATAACTGAGAAATATGTGTCGAAAATGTTGTATTTTCAAAAATATATAACTCGTCCACAAATAGACTTTAGTACATGAATTTTTACAGCAGTTTAGAAGAAGGTAATGCCTATACAACCAAGTGGATAATTTTAGATAACGGAGACGCTGAGCGCGATGGTGACCACGTAGCATGGTCCCGACGTCGGGTCTCCTGGCTCTCAGTCCAATCTCTCTCAGCGTGTTCCGTACAGTTTGACCGGATATCCTCCGAAGTCCAGGCACTCTGGCTGCTGTGCTCTCATCCGTGGCAGTACGATCACGCAAATGTAGTACTCGGATGTAGCGATCTTGTACCGACCTTGAAACTCCTTCAAAACGAATGCCGATTTCCGAAAGTAATCTGGATTTTTATAGCCACACAGTGCATGCTCTTTGCTGCACAATTTCAACTGGAAGGGGATTTCTGTTGGGTTGTGGCGATGCCTTTTTAATTCTTGCAAGAACTCTGTTCAAAATCAACATTTTCAGGTAAATTCATCAACACTTTTGTTACATATTTTGACGATTGTTTGAACACAATTGGCAAAAAATAGATTTTTAAAAATACAAAACGCCTATGCGTTTCTTTTTTGGGATAGTATATTTCACAACTTTTAAAGGTTAAAAAACAGGCCATACCTCGTATTCTCACTATCTGATAATGCACAGACGATATCTATAGAATTGTACCAGGCTTATAGAACATATGTCTTACAATAATGGAAAGGGTTTTGTCGCTTTTATATCGACCAAATCTCTATTTCGGAAAACCACATTTTGTTTTGTTTGTTTGTTTGTTGTTTTATGATGTACTGTTGTACATGAAACATTTTTCTATATGATGGTGATCTGTATATAATCGTGTCTGAAACATTTTTCTATATGATGGTGATCTGTATATAATCGTGTCTGAAACATTTTTCTATATGACGGTGATCTGTAAATAATCGTAACTGAAACATTTTTCTATATGACAGTGATCTGTATATAATCGTGTCTGAAACATTTTTCTATATGACGGAGATCTGTAAATAATCGTGTCTGAAACATTTTTCTATATGACGGTGATTATTGAAAGAGTTTTGTCGGCTATATTTCGACCTAATCATTATTTGGGGATCCCACATTATTCTTTTGTTTGTTGTTTTGTACCATATTGTTTTATATGACACATTTTTCTATATGACGGTGGTTTATAAATAATCGTGTCTGGACCAGACAAGCCAGTGCCTGACATCATGAGCATCGATATACAGAGTTGGGAATCGATGGCATACGTTAATCGAGACCACCCGATCCCGTCAGTCGCCTTTTACGACATGTATAGTTTGCTGGAAACCCTGATGTTCACGGGCTATCCAATACTAAGATGTCACGTCGTCATATATTTTCCAAGCCCACAATCGTTGAAACAGAATTCACTCGTTTTTGTCTTTTGCAGGCCTCTTTCCACCACTGGTGTGGGTTACCCGTAAGTTTGTGGGTGGATTATTTCCAAATAGATCCATACACTTTTTTCAAGCAAACATCTTGGAGATGATCAAACAACGACAGAACGACTCAAAGGAAAATCGAGAGGTAAGATATAAGTGGCTCCTTGGTGTGGTTTATTTCTGAAAACATGTGCTGATATATGGGTGTGCAAATAGGAAAGTGGAATTTGTTTTCTTGAACCGAGAGCCTAGACATTTAATAAAAAAACCATTTATAATGGAAAGTTACGTCTTTTTGCCATGTGTCATAGACAAGGAGCATGATAAAGTCATATTTGGTAAATAGTGAAACATTTATGTGCTCATTTTGTCACTTGACTATCAATATAGTTACAACACAAGATTTAAAAATGTGTTAGATATAGAATAGGTAACTAAGTTGACTAAATAGAAGCAGCTACAAAATATTTGCTAAGATAATTTCCATGACGTTAATACATAATATATGTAAACTATATCCTGCTTTGGAATTTCTAATAGTAGATCATTATTAGCCAGTGATTGTTTTCTACAGTCTCGTCATGGTTACCGTCTCATGGTATCATTATCCATTCATACAACATATATTCAATTTACATAGAATAAGTACATCAAGAAAGCATATGGTATTTACAGCAGAGAATCGACTTCCTGCAACTCTTGGTGGACGCTGAGACAACGGACGATACAGATAAACAAGTAAACGGTCATGCAGCCAATGGGCAGGCTTCAGAGAAACACACAGTAAGACGTGAGTACAGAAACACTTCTGAGTCTGCTCAGTGTTAACGTGGCTTTGAACAGCATGTCACTCATGTGGCGGGCAGTGACTTCGTGTATTGCATATCATCATGCATCGACAACGTGATCCACACTCGACTGTTCACTGCATTATACTTGTACTGTAGCTGAGCGAGGCGTTCAGTGTCTAATAGAAAACCCTGTGTGCATATTCTACGATTACTTTTACAGGCTTAACAACGGATGAAATAGTTGGCCAAGGGATATTGTTCTTCGTTGCTGGATACGAAACAACGGCTTCCACGCTGACCTTTGCATCGCACAGTCTAGCAATGAACCCGGATGCTCAGGAGAAGGCATATAATGAAATCAAAGAAATGCTTGGAAATGTCAGTATGAACCTTATGATATAGTACGAGCACACGCACTCTTGAGAAATTCATTCGAACACATTATTTTGTATGAATGCTTTCAGCTCATATACAAAGATGGAGGTAATTATTACAATGATGAATATAGCATAGGTACATTATATACACGTATTATTCAACATAACATAAGGAGCATGATGAAATACAGACATATTATCCATTAACCAGCAGTAGTATAGGGAATAGCGGTTCTATTACAGGTCCCCTGTAAGCGTTATTTTGTCCATCTCCGGCCCCTAGCGGAGTGAAAAATTAGGCGTGAATGATGTGGGGCCATCATTCGTCGTCCATGCAAAATCGTTTCTCTTTTAGAGATAATATATTGTTTACTAGAGCGGACAATTCGTCAGCATTACCAAGATTGGTACTACTATTTTTTCGACAACTTTGACAATCAATTAGAGATATGGTAGTACAAAAGTGTGACAAAGTAAGGACAACAAAGAGGCAGAGTGGAGTTTCGTTCTTGTTTAATATGGCATTTGTCAGAGGCCTGACTATCTGGGCAGGTTTGCTGGTGTCTCCCCTGCTGCTGTCCGCTGGTGTCTCTGTCCAACTCTGTTGCCGTTCGCCTCCCTGCCCTCTGTCTGACCATCTCCCCTTATATATACTCTTGGTCAGGCTTGGTGGCTGGCTGTTAATATGTCTTTAATTACCAATCAGTCTTGATGGCTGGACGTTAATGTGTCTTTAATTACCAGTCAGTCTTGATGGCTGGACGTTAAAGTGTCTTCAATGACCATAAATGATTTCTGATCACTGCCGTTGTTTACCATCGCTGGCACGTTTACGAGTTGACCAAAGACTGACTCATGTTGACAGGCCATAAAGGATTCAGTATCACCGCACTTGTTTGCAATGTCTTTCATGGTCACGTCGTTAATACATTTACATGCTGACTGGAGCCTGACCCATGGCGACAGGCGAAGGTGGTCATGACTATGTTACATTCGCACCAATGTAACTAAGAATTTTTCTTCTAGAAAAAATCTTTGGAGTAACTTGCGTTGTGTCTTCATTGATAGCTTCCGTCTAGATGTCGTCTACATGTCGTCTACATGCAGCTAGGTTTAAGAGGTTCGTTGCACCTGCATAGCATCCAGACCTTGGTACAATGACCATACTGCCGATGGTAGGACGCCACTCGTTGGTTCCTCCGTCGTTCTTCCTGACAGCAATAGTGCAGAGGGTAACTGCCCCTCACCCGGGGCTATCCGCCCGGTCAGCGCCACTTGGCACCATCTCTAAGTTTGGGGGTTCGGAAGTGTCTACCAAATCTTAGCTTTCTGGCGAGCCAGGGTCTATAAACTACACCTAGGATAATCATAGTGATGACTGCCAGAGTGACTATTACACCACATGTTATGAGAGCTTCACGTTCCTAGCCTCCCGTTCCAAAATTCCCATTCCAGTTATGTATGAGTGATAGTTCTTCAATAAGATGCTTCATAGGCATGGACTGCACATCTTTCATGTGCGGAGTCAAGTTCAGTTTCGCGGTGTTTCTAAACGTGGAATGAAAGGGTTCCCAAAGTAATGTATCTGAGACGTTAGGTAGCTTAATTAAATCAGTCCACTAGTCCTTAACTTCTAGTCTCTTATGATAATAAGGCATCAGCGTAAGATGGTCATTGGATCCCGAACATGTGCCATTCAACCGTATGAGGCCAAAGGGGGCGTTATTCTAACCGTTCGCGGATATGATATTTTGTCTGCATACTATAGTAAAATCTCACACCTTCACAGTGGTGACAATCCACTGACCATTATTTATATAGTGAGCCATTGGAATATTGCCTGTGGACTCATTTCGGAGTAACATCTAGTTATTATCTTATCTCAGTTTCTAGTAACCAGTGCAATGACACATAATTGACTGAAATTTAGGGGGTATAACGGGCTGACAACATGACAATATCCCATCATCGGGTTTGTGCAGGTACGTTGTTCTAAACCTTCACGCAATACATACTTGGTGCTCTCTACATTAATACCAATCATAGGCGATTCAATTTTGTACTTAGCAACCAAGCTGTTGTCCGCGTTACTCTGATTGTTACTTAATATCAGCAGCATTGGTAAGTTATGAATCTTATAGACCTTAAGTTATGAAATGCAAGCGCAGCTGTTTCAATGTCTCTATGACATTTATCCAGATAAGTATAATAAGTTTCTAATTTTAGAGCAAAAGTAATCAGCCATTTCAACCTAGTAGTAGTAATTTCATTTAACGTTTGAAACATTACATTTACAAAAAAAACATGCTACCACTGGCTAATCCAACTATCAACAAAACAGCAAGAAACATAGGTTTTGTCTTCTATCCTAGGAGGAACCAAACTACGACAACATTGGGAAACTGAAGTATCTGGACAACGTCATCACTGAGACGCTCAGACTCTACCCACCAGCTATTGCGTAAGTTCAAAAAAATAAATACAAATTTAAGCCCAGTCGTGACAGGTGTCATTTGTGTTGGATATCAACACTACACACAAAGAACTGACTTTGAGATAGGTATATTAAATATAGACGTCTTAAATGATGTTAGGTCTTCAAATAAAGTATGCCTGTTCACACACAAGAATAAAGTCATGGGTGATTTTATTGTTGTATCTAAGAAGCAACAAACAATTGCTCGATTCCCACAACCTGCGCGTATGCATATTTAAAGCCTCGACATCTGCCTTTTCCTTTCTTTACCGTGCATTCATCTGCATGACAATAAAGTGCATTTCCCGTTATTTACGGTGTGCAGTAGATGCGAGATGGGGCATTGTTTTGCAAGAGGGTGTCCAAGTCTATCATACACTTATGCGTCACGGTCATATTCGTCCAATGGAAAAACTATATACCGCGTGAAGTTCATATTAAAAATATTCAGAATTGATCGTGTATTTCAGATTGCATCGCAGAGCTTCTGAGAATATTCAGATCAAAGGCCTGACAATCTATGAGGGTCAAACTGTCTTCGCGCCTGTATTTGCACTACAGAGAGACCCTAATCTGTTCAAGGATCCACATTCCTTCAAACCTGAAAGGTAATTCCACCCTCAAACGTATCTAATGGTACTTCTGTCGTGACACCACAAACCAGGCAGCTGCTCACCCATTCTCTCACAAGCAGTGTGACATGGAATATATTCGCATGTACACACACTGACGCTGTTAACTGTTTGTGTCAGATCTTCAAAAGATCTAAGTATGTGAGCGTCAACAGATCCCCTTTCTCTGAGCTAAGTGTGCTTCAGTACATCCCCTTTCTTAGGTAAATGTGCTTGAACAGATCTCCTTTCTCAGCAGCTCAGTGTGCTTCAACAGCTCCCCCCCCCCCCCCCCCCCCCCTCCTTTGCTTAATAGACCGCCTCCGTGGTGTAGTGGTTAGAGCGTCCGCCCGGAGAGCGGAAGTTCGCGGGTTCGATCCCCGACTGCGTCATACCAAAAGACGTTAAAATATGGTACTTGTTGATCCCTGCCTGGCGTTCGGCATTAATGGGTACAACAAGGACTGGTCGGCTCGGAGTCAGTATAATGTGTCTGCGTGGGTATTCATGCTTCACTGCGGCATGGTATCTCAGTGAGCTAGCACTATAAAACCAGCTTAAGTCTAGGCTAGTACTAGCAGCCGCACATACACATACACACGCATGCACGTCGTCATATGAGCGAAATATTCTCAAGCACGACGTTAAACCCACTTTCACCTCACCTCACCTTAGCTTAATGTGCTTTGTTTCAATTCAGACTGCATCACTGAATACCAAACTTCATTTATCTGAGTGTCAGCAAAAGGGATGTCGTTAGCGTAGGTATTTTCATTTTCAGACAGATTGTGTGGAATATATGACCGAAGATATTTAATCAATGCAGTCCACAGATAATTCAATATTTTCCTTGCTGTGATTTTTCAGACACGATGAAAAATCAAACCCACTGTCCTTCTTGGCGTTCGGATACGGTCCAAGAATCTGTATTGGGATGCGTCTGGCTCTGGTTGAGGCTAAAATAGCCCTGGTTCATGTTCTGAGAGCTGTGAAGTTTGAACGTATGCAGGATACACAGGTATAAGAATTTCTGTATTCGTCATCATCATCATCATCATCATCATCATGTATTTCGTCATCTCAACGATTCTCATCTGCAACATCATCATCCACACTCCGAGGACAAGCGGATATAATTATCACATTTGGTATCTGTTTCGATGAATAATCGAGACTGATTATTCTCTGGCGTTTCATACTTTTACAAATATTCGTTTTCTTAGCATAAGGGATCACAAATGTTTGATGATGTACACAAATACATATATCTAAATGCAAACGATTCATTGACGTGAAATCTTGTATCTGTATAATGGTCAACTTATTCACTCTTTAAATAGTATTTTCGGAGAGTAACCATAAAATCCTTTCAAACTGCACTTCCGAGATTCAGAAGCTCACAGGATCTCTTTATCAGGACGGGCAGATTTCTGGCGATCTGACGAGGGCGCACAATTTGTCAGTTTTGTGATATAAATATCATTTCTTACAAACATATACTTTGTATCTGATATCAGAAAACAGTTCATTGATAAACATTACACCCGAGTTTAGAGATATTACAGTTAATGGGAGGTAACTATGTAGGAACGAAAGTACTGCCATTGTAAAATATGCATGCTAATAAACCCCTAGTTCTCTGGATGCTCTGAATAATAGAAGGGCATAGAAGGGGTTTTTTAGCCTAGAGAGACAACATATGGTCCTCACTCATTTTAAGTGAGTGAGTGAGTTTACGTCACATATACATTTGATGAACGTACTTAGTCTGTTCATCATAATGTACGTACTTAATCTATTCATTACGGTATGCGTACCTAGTCTGATTATCAAGATGGACTTACCTGCACCAGCGACATGTTGTCCTGTCCATAGCATGTTCTCATACGCCTATGTGGCGCGGTCACAACATTAAGTAGCCAATAATTAATTTTGACAATGACACAATGATAATACACTTGCGTCCTAATTACGCGACTAAATGTGAAAATCAACAGACATATAACATGAATCTTTTGTTTACAGGAAGTACTGACGTTTAATACGTCCAACCTTCTTCAACCAGAAAAGGACATCAAGCTGAAAGTATCTGCAAGATGCTGAGTAAGAGGCACCAGCAGTTCTGTTATGATAGCAACGGAGGGAAAACTATTGTACAATATTGTCTCATGATTCAGCCCTTGATGGGAGATGTGGGTGCAGAGAGACAGGCCGACGGACTAACAGACAGACAATGTGTTGTTCCAAATGATCTGTCTCCATTTGAATGACATGTACATCGTTGTATGCATTGTATGTATAACATACATGGTATACTATCCCACAAAAAAGAAACGCATAGGCCAGAAATCTGTTGCGAAAATGTTGTATTTTCAAACTCGTCCACAAATAGACTTTAGTGCATGAATTTTTGCATCAGTTTAGAAGAAGCCAATGTCTATACAACCAATTGGATAATTTTAGATAACGGAGACGCTGAGCGCCATTGCGACAACGTCGGGTCTACTGGCTCTCAACCTGTTACGTACAGTTGGACCTGATATCCACCGAAGTCCAGGCACCCTGGCTGCTGTGCTCTCACCTGTGGCAGTACGATCACGCAAATGTAGTACCCGGATGTACCGATCTTGGGCTGCAGTGGTGACTCGAGGTCTGCCTGTACGGGGACGGTCATTTGCTATACCTGTTTGGTTGTAACGAGACGTAAGCCGTGATATCGTGCTCAGACTAACATTCAGACGCCTGGCAACAGAAAATTAGTATGTTCCAGGTGCATTCTTTCAATGGCGATGTTCCGTGTCACAGCGTCAAGACGTGGCGTTGTGTTTTGACCTTGAAATTCCTTCAAAACGAATGCCGTTTTCCGAAAGTAATCTGGATCTTTAGAGCCAGACAGTGCATGCTTGTTGTGTTGTGGCGATTCTTTTTTAATCCTTGTAAGAAATCTCATCAAAATCAACATTTTCAGGTAAAGTCGATTTTTTACTTGTGCAATTGTGTAAAATCATGTTATCAACACTTTTGTTACATATTTGGACGATTGTTGGAACAAAATAGGAAATAAATAGATTTTTAAAAATACAAAACGCCTATGCATTTCCTTTTTGGGATAGTGTCTTAGGTTCCAGAAAAAGCTGTTGGTGGAAGTGATCAAATTTGGGCTCAACGTAACAAATAATGATGCTCGGACGTCATTGTGTCAGTAAATGCCTACTGACGTCCCACCCTATTTATCCATCTTCAAAGTACCATATGTGAAATAAAATTGCCATTGTCTCACACGAAAAAAGTATTCAAAAGGAATATCAGTCTTCACCCACATTACAAACCACATTATACCTTGAATGAAGAATGAAAGCTTTGTCCGCATTTGTGCTCAAGTAGGCTGTGTATTGGCAAATAAATTGTATTGCAATATATTGCGATTCAGGTACCCGTATTGCGATGTATGGTCAACTGATGTGTTTGACAGTGAGTGACACTAATTGTGCATGACAATCCTTTGTTCTACATAATCAGTCCCTTAAGATATATGTTATGGTTCTGATAACAGCAATCTCAAAATTAGGTTGCATTGTCAGGGATTCTATTTTCTCTTTGATACAATTTATAGTATTACAACAGTGTTCACGAATGGTGAATTGTGTTTCAAAGTAACAGGACGTTGGGTCCTGCAAGTTTCAGATGTCTGTCCGACCCACTGAAATTCACAGGACCCACAGAAGAAAATCGAAACACATTTTAGATTACACATTTCTTATAATTTGCAATGAAATTATGAACAAAAATACAATTAATTAACAGCAGACTTCAGCTACATGCTGTAGTTGACAAGAATTACAATGATAATTAAAACATAACTACCAGTGAATAATCATGTTATACAAGAGTCACTTATCACAACTTTGTGTTTTACGCATGTTTCTTTGATGTCTTTGCGCGATCATAATACTGTAATTCTTTCGACACCAGTCAACCAGAAGCTTTTACTATTATGACTCTGAGATGATAGATAAAACCTACTTTTATTAAGGAAAATAACAGCTTGTAAAACAGTATTACTACTATATGTCATATACCATTTGTCTCATCCTACTGACATTACACATGACATTACATTTGACTGACATTACACGATCAATAACCTAGTTACATTTACAGTTTCTGTATTTTTTGTGAATGGGAAAATCGAACTTGGCTGAAGGACACTTGAATCTACTAAACATCACTTGAATGTTTTTGTTAAATAAACTGTTAGACAGTGGTGCAGTAGACTTCAATCGGACCGGATTTGTCCTAGATGCTGACGCTTTTCGCGAAACTGTTACAGTATGCCGTTTTGTCGTTGAATAACGAAGGAAAGCATTTGTTGTGAATGAAAGTCTGTGTAGATTTTAATTTAAACCAAAAAATAATAACAAAAAGTTCTGTACCCAATATACCGGTTCTCGGAAAAATATTACAATACGTATCGTTTAAAATGCGTATTGCGCAAACCGGTAATACCGTGCAGTCCTACGCTCAAGTATATATTATTCAGCCATATTACAAACCAAATCATATCTTGTCAGAAAATGTAATGAGCATGAGCTCTTGCACATTCTAATGTCAGTGCCCTGTATAGGGTAAAGAAAAGACGTTTATTGTAATTTTGGCCTCCGGCCCACATTACAGAATATTAATATACATACTGAATGTATGCTATAATGAAACTGCGGTTGTTTAACCTGTTTATCGTACATGTATGTCTATGTGCTTATTTCGAATAAACTAGATTGTTTAGCAGCGATTTGTAATGAATGTGGACCTTGCTTTGTCGCTCTTATTCACCTTGTCAATTTCAACGGAACAACGAGTGTACTGAACACGGAGTAATATGCTCATTTCAGCATGCACTAATTGATTAGATTTTGTTTGCTTGTTGTTTAACGCCGCACTCACCAATTTTCCAACTATATGCCGGCTGTCTGTAAATAATCGAGTTTGGACCAGACAATCCAGTGATAAACGCCATGACCATCGACCTCCACTTCGGTTGGTTGAGGTGGTGGTTGTAGAAAATCTCCCTATCACAGGTATGAACTTGCTAACTGGGACTGATTCGTCAGGGAGAAATTATTTACCGGTTGTTTGTCAAGTACCTAGTTCTTCAGAAATTACTGAAAATCTTGAAAACTTTCCTGATATTTTCCTTCCTGTCTTGTTGCTTGTGCTACAGCTAGGTAATTTCTTATGAGATTGATTCGGGCCTACCATACAAATGGTGAACAAATCCTTAAAACTGAACTCAAATACACGAAAACAGAACAAAATTGACCAAAATAGGAAAATAAACTTCCAAAACAACAACAGTTTCATCTAAATACGAAACAAACACAATGTAATGGAAAACTAATCGTTTGAATTGGAAACAAAACTCGCGCATCAGCTACAAGAGCGGCTGAGAACGGTCGCCTTGCGTACAAAACGGCAGTCATAGCATACCAAAACCGCAGTCATAGCATCCCGAAACGGCATAAAAATCGTTAAACATGGCGGCTCGGTAAGACGAACAGGCTTTGGTAAGTAATGTTTTCGTCACTATGAGACTAATCTTGAAAGTTTGCTATCGGTATGTAGCGCACCAACCCCTATTGTAGTTAAGCTTCAAACCTATGTTCATACTTGTCAGTGTCAGGTTTGCGACTCTGCACAATGTGGTCCCTCGTTCGACCGAAGGTAGTTTGTTGTTTGACTTGAGTAATTTTCTATTAAATTTTCTCTTCACGTTTCTCACAGCTAATAGAGACGATCTTCAATTCATGGACGCGATATCGATAGCTTTAAAATACTTACCTAGAATACGATCATGTACAATAGAATTGAGATTTGTTGCAAAACGTTCAGTTACGTAGAGAAGATACAGAACGCAACGTTCTATCGAATAGGACGCTCTTTTTAGAACACGCTGGAAATGATCCAGTTTGCCATTATTTGAAGGATAGCAGTCACCAGATGCACCTGCCAATAATGAATGGTTGGGTTTTCAGAAATAATGAGTAAGATTGTTCAATATGACGAAGAGTATTCGTTGGGGAACAAATATATCCACTGTGATAAAAAATAGAACACTGTTTCAATTTGTTTCATAAATGTAATAGTCAGAATCGTGCTTGGTTCTAAGCAGTGATTTTGTTATGGGTGCGGAAAGCGTGTGCAGCTTTTAGCCGCTTTGAGAAAACAATTAAGTACCTCTCAAATCATGTACTGAAATGGTGTATAAGTATCTGTCCGGCAGTTAGATCATACTGATTTCAGTTGTAAATCCCTGAGCACCGAACAGGTTATTTCAACCTGAAAGTATGAAATCGAAATAACATGGGCACAAGAGAAATCAACTATACCTGCTGATAACGATGTTTCCACACGAAAGCGGTACGATGTTTCGGTATTCTTTGTGGTGGAACTGGTGGATATTTACACAGAATATGGTAGATGTGCGAGATTTTAGGTGCGCATCAAGTGGATGACCAGTCATCTTCTCGACAGTTTGATTCTGCATTCGAACACGAAGTGAGATCCACGAGAATATACCCGAAAGTTATCTTGACACAACTTCCGACACAGTCGTTTGAACATTTTGTAATATCTTGAGCACGTGATAGATTTTGTTGCAATAACACGTTTTATGCCCTTGACAAACAAATATTTGATTGTGGATTGATTCGGGCCTACCATACAAATGGTGAACAAATCCTTAAAACTGAACTCAAATACACGAAAACAGAACAAAATTGACCAAAATAGGAAAATAAACTTCCAAAACAACAACAGTTTCATCTAAATACGAAACAAACACAATGTAATGGAAAACTAATCGTTTGAATTGGAAACAAAACTCGCGCATCAGCTACAAGAGCGGCTGAGAACGGTCGCCTTGCGTACAAAACGGCAGTCATAGCATACCAAAACGGCAGTCATAGCATCCCGAAACGGCATAAAAATCGTTAAACATGGCGGCTCGGTAAGACGAACAGGCTTTGGTAAGTAATGTTTTCGTCACTATGAGACTAATCTTGAAAGTTTGCTATCGGTATGTAGCGCACCAACCCCCTATTGTAGTAAGCTTCAAACCTATGTTCATACTTGTCAGTGTCAGGTTTGCGACTCTGCACAATGTGGTCCCTCGTTCGACCGAAGGTAGTTTGTTGTTTGACTTGAGTAATTTTCTATTAAATTTTCTCTTCACGTTTCTCACAGCTAATAGAGACGATCTTCAATTCATGGACGCGATATCGATAGCTTTAAAATACTTACCTAGAATACGATCATGTACAATAGAATTGAGATTTGTTGCAAAACGTTCAGTTACGTAGAGAAGATACAGAACGCAACGTTCTATCGAATAGGACGCTCTGTTTAGAACACGCTGGAAATGATCCAGTTTGCCATTATTTGAAGGATAGCAGTCACCAGATGCACCTGCCAATAATGAATGGTTGGGTTTTCAGAAATAATGAGTAAGATTGTTCAATATGACGAAGAGTATTCGTTGGGGAACAAATATATCCACTGTGATAAAAAAATAGAACACTGTTTCAATTTGTTTCATAAATACATGTTCATGTAATAGTCAGAATCGTGCTTGGTTCTAAGCAGTGATTTTGTTATGGGTGCGGAAAGCGTGTGCAG